GACAATAGACAGATCAAATAGCCAAAAAATCAACTGTGAAACAGTATGCCTGAACCCAACTTTTAAGCAAATGGACTCAGTAGATGTGTACAGAGTGTTCCACACCACATCAAAGAACACATTGTTTCTTGTTCAGAAAACATCAAAAGTGAATTTATTTAACCATACTCAGCTGATAATACAGCAAGTAGGTGAATAATGCATGCTATAGCACGCTGAATGAGCTGAAAACAAAATGTTGGTCGGAGGAAGACAGAGGAGCTTTGTCTTGTAAGAATCAGAACCGAGGGGCTCCACAATCATCTGGGATCTGCTCAGTGTTGTATCTGTGATTAGAAACGTACATGATAGGAACTCCAGGGATCTTCCAGATTCTCGGTCAACCGTGGCACAATGTAACACTTGTGCTGAGTTACTGTCTGCACTAAGCAGTCATTTGCATAGGTCCCTTTATGTGTGCAAGGTAATTATTCAAATGTGGATCCTTGGCAATCCTTAGGGTCACCCAATACTTCTATCCCAGTTTCTCAATTTCTGCCATTACACAATCAGTTATACAAGAGATACACTTGGCCTACAGACAATCCATCACCCATTGTACCACAGCCAATTTGGCTTTGATGGAAAAGTTGATGAAATTGGTACCAACCAGGATATGATAGGGTGGGCCCAGCTGTGCATTATACTGGAAGAATAAGCAGGAAGAATGTTGGTAAACTTCTCTTTCCTTTAGAGCACTGAGATCTTTCTTTCCTTTCTTTTTAGATTTTTTATTTTTTACATCACTGTGTTAGGTGAAATACACCAGACACACAAGCTTCAGTATTGCATGGCTTCTCTTTCTCAGAAAGCCAAAGTTTTTTTTTTTTTATTTCTTTTGTTTTTTGCAGAACTGGGGATTGAACTCAGGCCCTTGTGCTTGCCAGGAAAGTGCTTATTCCACTGAGCCATCTCCCCGGCCCTCTTTTTAGATTTTAATCTATCCTTTTCTTTGAGTGTCTCATCTCTGAGACTAAGCATTTGCTTCACGGTCGCATACTTTCTTGTTTTCTTTTGTTTCCCCATGTACACACCAGAATCCTGTTTCTTCCAGAATCGCCCAGAGTACACATTCTTGTCAGCTTCATACATGATGTTCAGTAAAATCCAGAAGATCATCTGTACCTATTTGGGGACTTATATTCTCATAAGGTAGAAAATGCAGCAAATGAATGGATTCCTAGCTACATATGAACTACCAAAGCTGAATCAAAAAGACATAAAAATTTGAAATAAAATAAAAGTAGTCAATGCAATTGAAGTGCTATTTCTCAGAATTTTTCAGGGCTGGCCAAATAGCTCAGCAGATTAAAGTGCCTGCAAACAGGTACAGGGGCCTGCTGTGCTGGCCCCACCTCTGGGGTGTGCTGAGACAACAATTGAGATGGCATGGCGGCGCACACCTGTCCTCCCAGCACCTGGGAGGCTGTGAACGGGTGGATCACTATGAGTCCAATCTAGTAGTGAGACCCTGAACACCCTGTAGACCCTTCCCTAAAAATACAGGAAAAAAATCAACGATTGGGCTGTCATCTTTCTGAAAAGTTTCTGAGCTTCAAAAGAAATCTCTGAAAAAATAGAGAAAACCCATGAATTGGGGAAAAAATAATAGCTGACTCTCCTCAGACAAAGGCCTTCTATCTAGAATACAAAAAGAATTAAAACATATCAGGTCCACAAAATTCAAAGACCCAATCCAAGCTGGGCATCTAAGATGAGTGTATACTTCTCACATGAAGAAATACAAATGGCGAATAAATAAATGAAAACATGCTCAATATCATTGATCATTTGAGAAATGCAAATTTAACAACACTGGAGGGCCAGCAAGATAGCTCAGCGGACTAAGCACCTACTTAGGCAAGCACAGGGATGGGGGTCAATCCCTGGTACCACGGCCCAGTCCCATGGTCATGCCAGCCCTGCCACCCAATGCACTGAGCCATTGACCAAGTTCAGGTGTGTTGACACAGGTCTGTAATCCCAGCACTGAGGAGGCTGAAAACAGGATCACCAGGAGTCTGAGCTGTGTACTGAGACCCTGTGACAAATACAATATAAAAAAAGAACCTGATATTCCATTTCACTCCAGAAAGAATGGGAATCGTCAAGAAGTCAACCAATAACAAATGCTGGGGGTAAGGGGGTTCTGGGGATAAATGAACCCTTTTCTACTGTTGGTGGGAGTGCAGACTCATACAACCACTGTGGAAATCAGTTCCATTCAACCCAGATATTCCCCTCCTGAGTATGTTTTCAGAAGACCTGAAATCATACCACACCAATTCATGGACACCCATAATAGTGCAATATGTCACACCTAAATCTTGCAAGCAACCCAAATGCCCATCAATGGAGGAATGGTTTAAGAAGATGTATTTTTTATACAGCAGAGTATTATTCAGTTATAAAAAGGATAAATTTCAAGCTTCTATTGGTAATTAGATGCAACTATCAACCACTCTTAACTGGAATAAATCAGACCTGCATGTGCAAACATCATATTGTCTTCTTAGTGTAACAACCTGAAAGAGTAAATAAAATCTGAAGGGTGTAATAGATATTGTGGAAAGGAAGGAATTACTGAAATGAGGAGAAGGAGAGAGAGAGTGAAGGAGCAAGCTATTTCTATGTATATGAGCAAGAGGGTTTGGATAATTGTACTGTGGACTTCTGCTGGTATACAGAAAAAGGCAGTTAATGTTTAGTATTTGTCTTCTTTTTTCTTTTTTCCTTTTTCTCTCTCAATTTCTCATGACTTTCATTTTCTGTCATTCTTTCTCTTTCCAGTTTGTCTTCATATACGTGGTAATCTGAACAACTAAGATGAAGGCAACACTACACAATACAATGAATACAGTGGAATTCACATTTTCTTCAGTAAAATTCTGTATCATTTGTAATTTTTTTATTTTCATTACTATATTGTATTCTCTTTTTAAAAATTAAAAGTACATAAGAACTCAAAAGAAGAAATACAAATAGAACGGTATAATATAAGTAAAAGGAAAGCAGGATCTCAAGGACTAACTAATCAAAAGAGGGAAAGGAGAAGAGCTAGGAAACATGAATAAGTCAAGCCATACAGTTATATGTAGAAGATGGGCAAGGCAATGATCCTGAGAATTTCCAAAAGATTTTTCATCTAGCAGTTAATTGGAAAGAATCTCACCCTGAGAATCTTTATCAGTAACTATATATACTGATACCTGTGAGCTAAGCTAC